AAGAGGAACCAATGCTTCCTCCAGGTGTGTTTGACCCCAAGGACATGTATGTTCGAAAGCGTTGGAAGCAAGTCCAATATCTTGCGGATGTTTTCTGGAAACGTTGGAGAAAGGAATTCCTTCCGCTTCTTCAATGTCGACAAAAATGGAACAAAGTGCAACGAGATCTTCAAAAGGATGACATTGTACTTGTTGTGAATGAGAATCAACCACGAAACACTTGGTTGCTGGGACGAGTCATTGAAACTTACCAGGATAGCAAGGGTAGGGTTCGTTCCGTGGGTGTTCAAACCAAACATTCCATATTCCAACGCCCTGTGACAAAACTTGTACTTCTGCGTGAGTGTGATGAAGCATGATTTGATAACTTTTCAATTTCGTTTTAAAGAATTTCTTTCTGGCATGGTTGTTGAGTGTGTTTGATGTGTTTTGAGTGTGTGGAAATCTTGTAAATTTGTGGATGCAAATTTTAAATTTCCAAGGGGCCGGGATGAAACCGCCTCGCATTTGTTTTCGTTTATTTCACACTTGACTGATTTTGTGATTTGCGTATTCTGCGATTGCAACATAACCTCACACATTGATGTTGCCATGTTTCTAGTATTGTTTTGTAGTTATTTCTAGGTTTGTATTGGGCATATCTAATGCTGCTCAAGTAGGGTTTAGTACTAGTGTAATTTATGATATTTTTCTGATGACAACCTACCCCGATTTGCAGACTGTTAACAATTAGAACATAGAATTATGCTAATTTGTCCTGTGTTGCTAGGCCAGCTCTCTTTGTGTTGTTGCTTATTTCTGGCAACGCTCGTTCTTTCGCTCGCTGCTTTCTGGGCGGGAATGTTGGCAGTGATTGTCTGCTCTCCAGTTTTGTTAGATTTTTAGCTGTTTAAGGTCTCTTAGGAACCGGGTTTTTAAGTCATATATTTAGTAAAAGTTACCTTTGAATCTTTCCCAGCTCTATTCGCGTTTAGATGTTCGTTATTCTCAGTAGGCTAGGAAAACAGTTGCAAGTAGTTATTTCATGATATTTTGTGTGTTTATTTGTTAGATCTGATCAAATATAGAGCTAGTTAAAATAATAGCTTCCAGTCAAATAATTGGTTGTTCTTTGAGTTGAAGGCTACATCGTCAAGTAAGTCTTTGATTTATCGTATTTTATGCTTTATTTAGTGATATGAAACTGCAATTTTAAGGTAAACAATTGTGCTGTATTTTTGGCTTTTTCAATTAATTTGTGATTCTAAATTGATAAATACTGTGCTTTTTAAGTGCTAATTAGTTTAGATATTTGGTAAGTTTTATTGTGTGACATATTTTGAGACTGTTTTTTATTTCTGTTTAGAAAACCGTACAAATTGACAACTGTATACTGATTCGTACTTTCAAACTGTAATTGAATTTCAATCGTACGTACACTGCATTTTAAACGTACCTTTTTCGTGACAACAAGAAATTTCAAAAGGCGATTTGTACGCGTATTTTTTATTGTGGAGTCTCGAAACGATTCAGAGAGCAACCGTCCGTTACCGCGTGTTGGCGCTAGATAGCGACTCCGATTTGGCGCCTACATATAGATACTAACATTGATTAAATATCTGTGACCCACTCTCTTCTGTTTCGCGATAAAAATATAATTTTTGACCCATTCATTGAAAAAGGTTCGCCATCCCTGTTCTAGTAGATGGGAGAACAATCACCGTGATAAGAAATAGACCCCACTGTACCCCCGCTGGGTGGAAACTTGTTAATTAACATCAAATTTGATTAGAATTCGATTTCAAAATTAACTTTCACGATGTTAAAATTAGTACTCTACTCAATTAGTATTTTGAAGTATCTTCACTTGTATTATTAGGTTGTGCTAAAGAACAATTGGATATTGTTGAACTTTATAAAGCACGTCCTGCAACTCTAGTGCCAAAAGAATTGGTCGAAGCTGAACTCGATAGACAAATTGAAATCGGCGTTTAGAAGCCATGTACAACGTCCGATTGGGCTGCACCTATGTTACAAAATTAAAAACTGACCGGAAATGAGTTCGTCCCGTGGAAGCTTTGACTTGACTGTAAACAAGAGAACAATGCCCGAATATGTGAAAACGAAGTAGTATCACATCTTTTACAGTCCCGTTAGTTTTACTTCTGAAAAACTTCTGACTTCGCTGACAACAAGATCGCTTAAACGCGATCGTGGAAACGCCACACGGTGCGCAATTTTTAATTTTGATGATGTCATCACATCAGTGGTGGAATTTTTTGTCAGCCGGTTCCTAGACAAAAATCATATCTTTCAGCCGGTTCTGTTACAAACAGAACATTGACAGTAACCAGTAATACTAACCGGTTCGCTGATCCCATAAAATTCCGTGAGACGGTTCTATAGAACCGACTGAATCCCACCACTGCATCACATAGAACTTGACCTTAGGCAATAGACCTGGAGAGGTGTAAAAGAAATCCCATAAATAAATTTTTGAAACAAATAAAATATCGTTCTAGCAACAACAACAATTTCCTCGAAATCATATCCTTAACGAAGCTGGAACTATGAAACGGATCTGTTGGTCTGGTGTAGTTTAGAACCACAAATACCTCAAGTGGGAGTGGGGTAATAATTTTTGAATATGATATTCCTGACCCCCACCTGACTACGTCATCCAAAACAGGGTCTTAAGAGATGCGACCTCCTACCTCTGCTGCTAGTGAGGAATGTGTTGATTCCGAAACAGGTAGAGATAGTAAGGTCACAGCGCTTACTTTTCTGATTGTTTGTATTGCTTCTTTTTATTTTTTATTCAGTATTTGGATTTGTAACATGTTTCCAAAAGGAAGGAAAGGGGAGTTTATCTTTTTACTTCAATATTTCAGGACAGGCGACTCCGACAGTCAGATATCACGTGATACATAAATTAATCCTGTTCACTTTGGATTAAATTGGAGGGTCCTTGGGCAGTTGATTGTTTGAGAAGCCTATTCTCGTTTTCGCTCATATATAGTTATTGATAATTAGTTAAAATTTGATTGAAATGGATGATGCTGCTGCTTTTTAGCTTTAGTTGATAACTCAAAGTGGTATCTCCGCGAAAAGAATTTTTTGTTTTTCATATAGTTTTTCTCTTGCATGAAAAAATTAATGGGCCACAGAATTTTTTGTGCAAAAAAGTGGACCGCGAAAAAAAAGTTTGAAAACCACTGGGCTAAGATTAAGTGTAGTACATCCTTTCTCGGATATACTCAACAAATTATTAGTTCTATTTAGCTTCTATCCAGCCATCGTGTCATATGTGGCACATCCAGCATCGGAATACCAGTTAGCCGTACCGGTTTCTTGGGTGGTTGGCCACCAGTGATCACGTGAACTACCCTGCGCTGATTGAGGGCCATATCCTCAATGAATCCAGAATTTACTGAAACGTGCGGGGTAATAACAATGGCAATTGTGTTCTAATGCTCAACACGACTTAACAACTGTTTTGGCGAAATAAAAAAAATTACAGTTTCATTTGCTGGTTGGCACACTTTTGTCGTTTCAGTAACACGAACACTCAATTGTACAAACTACCACTACTATTGTACCGATACCCTTTTTGTCAGCAATACCAACGAAACGAAAAAGCTCCGATATTGCCGATACAGTACTATGTAATTATTACCTTAAGTGAGCGGGGTAGACCGGTTAAAACAATAGTCTGGGCATTATTCATAGTGCACATTATTTCAGATAATGAAGAGATGTTCCAGATAATGAGAAAATGATGTTTATGAACCAGAAGCATTAATTGATTCAGATGCATTGTGCACCCACGAATTTGGAAATTCTATTGATCATATCTCTAATAATTAAATTGCACATTATACAAAATTTCCAGCGAATGAAATAACAAACTGAGAAAGGGACTTAGAATATCTATTCACGATGTCGAACTGTAAATATATTAACGCGCATATCTATGAATGAACTAACGTACTTCTAGTCATAATTCAACAGAGTAATACGTTGAAATAAATAGGAACAGAGATATTAGACATAAATTTTTGTCTGTAATGACCGATATAATTGATTAATTACATGGTTTCATTTTACTGTATTTAAATTTCTCTTTGGTGTAAACTGAAATATGAACTTGTAAGTGTTTTAGCCAATCATTTCAGTATTAATTCGTCGATTCCTGCTACCAAGATATTTAAGTTACGTGGTAAAAGACTTCGAAGCCCAGGCGCCATTTATTAATAACCTGATTGCAATATTTTATACGTAACAAAATGGCGACATAAAGTTTAGAACATGTTTTAAAATAGATTCATCAAGCTATATAATTATACTTATGTCAGTGCCAGAAATAGAGATAACGTGGATTATTTTCGAAATGGAATTGTCAATAATGTAATATGCGTATTTTCTAGTAAGAGCGCTGCGTGATCTCAGAGGGGGAAACTTTAAACCTCACATCCAACAGGAAGTTGCGGCAATCTCGTGACGGATTAGCCAGCGATTAAGGATTTCGCTATTTGCTGTCGTCGAAATTAAAGGAAACGAATTTATTTGACGCACGCGGCGACCGACGAACGAGGCGGCGGAAGGAAGGCTGGTTGTCAGCTGCTCTCCAGTGAACAAAAAAGAGAGAAACATTTCACGTAAGAGTAGTGAGAGAAGGAATGAAACAAAGAAGTCAAAAATGAGACAAAGTCGACGGCAAAATAGCCTGTATGTCGAGATGTTCGACGGGCGAGAATTATCATTTCTGTAATTACAGGAAGTTGTATTCATAATTTCTTTGTGAGGTTTAGTTTCCGCGAGGCGGGGTGTAGCACTCACGTCGCGCCATGCACGAATGACTACAAGTAAAGGCAACAAAAAGCTTCATTGCTTTCGAGAAATAGTATCTGTGTGTGATGTATGTGTGCTTAGTTACGCACTGTAATCACTTCCGCCTACACAGTTGTTCAAAAGGGAGTGTTAAGCGACATTTAGTAATATATTTTATTTATGAATTCCTACGTAACGCATGATAAGTTTTCAGGAGCGTCTGTGAGTGGGCAGATTGAATGTAAAACGACGGTTTTATCGAGTTACAGATAATCCAGTTTTGATTTTTGGTGTTCAGATTTTATTCTATTAGACACAAATACGTATGAATTTGGCAACTGGACAAATTAGAGTAAAATGACTCTACAATCTGAAGACAGAAAAAACCATCCCGATCTAAATTCTCACGAAAGGTCGGAAGTTCTACAACAGCCACGTAGGAGTATAATAATTCGCACATCGGATAATATCGAAAACGAATATCCCGGACGAACCAGTGAAGAACCTAATACATCTGGTGAGATACTATTGCGTTTCAGCATTTTTGTATTTTGTGGGTGAACTGGTTGACCTGTCTGTTATCAACTTGAAAGTTACGAATATCGTAATTCCTGTTCTGATACTGTTATATTATAAAATGAGTTTTGTGAATTCGGGGCATGATTTCATACATCGGTTAGTTTGGTTCTTTTGATAAAGCTGTATTATATTTATATGAGTAGCAAGTTGAAATAGAATATTTATTGATATACCTTTGTGTACATAAAGCTTGAGTCATTTTTACGAAAATGAATATTACGCGACGATAGTTTTCGCAATTGTAGCCGTCACAAAAGCGAAATCTTTACGCATAATAAAGAGAGCAAGGATAGGGCGTTGTACTCAAATAAGAAAGAAACCGGATCTTCGGAGCGATGGACTACGGACGTCACCGACTTCCGCCTTTCACTCGCTTTGTCTGTTGTTTTTATCGATTACTATCTCAGCTGCCGACGACATGAATTCCGCTACAATGCCTACTTTGCAGAATTGTTATAGTAGATTATGGATATGGCAGGAATTTTGAATCACCATTTAGCCTAATTTTCCGATCCGTGTAGGCAGGCAAACGTGAACGCATTCTATTTTCAATACGGAACCCATTACAACATAACATTTTGGTATTTTAAAATCTAAACCGATGTAGATTACTGTAACATACGGAATATAACAACACTTCTTATATGAAATATATTTATACGCCGACGGGGTGAGGACGAGTTCCTGTGGAATTACTTACTGTTCGCCAAACGTGTGTGAGTCATCCACATCGTCTTTCTCGCGTTTGTCAAACTTCATAGTATCATCATATTGGCTCAACCTTAACTGAACCATAAAATACGAATGAGACAATATTTACGTAATCGCTTTCAAATTGACAACGAATAGGCGGGGAAGGTAGCAAACCTAATGTAATAAGTACTCGACGTATGAAAATCAAATAATTTCAATCGACGATGTGGGTTTGTTACGTCTTCAGTTTCGACATTATTGTTAGGTTGTTACCTCTGTCACGAGTCTAAATTGTCCTGTTTCACAAAGGCTGTGCAATTAAAATATCAGAATTTGCCACTATATCGTGATCGCGGTTTACTTCCGGCATAAGAGGACAGCGTGCGAAATGGAAATATTTGTTGCGTATTATCATATCCCACAGAATCTTCATTATAACAAGTCGATTCAACGTATATCAAAGAGAAATAAAACTTTCACCTAAAAATACAAATCCCGCCAAACGCCGATTAGCTGTCAACTACTGCCAATTTACAGTATTATACAGATCAATTGCTAGAAAGTGCCATACACACACCGAAATTATTTCCGTCTTGCTGAAATATATTGTGGATTTGCCGTCCTCGAATCGTGGGAATATGCGTGTAGTTCAATAAAGGACGTTCTTGGACAGCTTTTATAAAAAGTAAACATTGCCGTCTAGGCGTTATGATAATACTTCCAATAAGGCGGAAATTGCATGCTCACGGATGCGCCATTTCGCACGTACCTGTATCTCTAACCACAAGTTAGGTAACCGTGTATCATATTTGCTAAGGCTAAATTATTATCAAAGAGGGGTATGTTCACTGCGAGAGCTTGTATTGAGCATTAAGACAACTACTCGCAATAAAACGACAGATGAAGAATATAGTGATCGATTCTAGTACTGTTCGGCATGATTTGGATCATTCATGTTGATTATATTGATGGGACGAGAATGACAAGATTATTTGTCTATTACGAAAAACGATTGTGATTGTGACTCACGCTTACGCGATTACGTCCCGAAATAAAGGCATCGAGTTCGTCAAGCACAGGCTAAATGATCAATCGCACACTAATGGTTCACTGCATCAGTGAACATACCCGTCCCCGTTTACCTGTAAAAATATGATCTACCGGCATGATGTCTTTGAACTCGATTATCTTCGAACCTAACAATATGTAATCAAAATTTATGGGTAAAAAGACGTCCATTGTCATCTATAATAATCAAAATATCATTCTCAATTTTTCGTTCAATTCTTATCAGTTTTTCATTCGACCCAATAGAACCAACCAATCAAAACGCTGTTTCCGGTTGTGGACAACAACTCATCCGGTTCCCACGACCTAATTTCACAGCGCGACACTCCCAGAAGTCAGCGATTTCCGACTCCTATCAACATACAATGCGAAACTATTATAATGCCGGTACTTGGAGGCTCCAATGGGGCGACAGAAACGCCGGTTATTTGCGACGGATGGATGGAGATTCTAGAGTTGTTTTTGCATTGGTGGATATTCAAAATCAGGTCAATCCGCGGTCATGGCCTCAACGAAATATTATATAAATGCCGTTTGAGGAATTTTCGTTTCACTCTTTATTCAAACTACATTCCTTGTTATTTCAATCAATTCCCAAGTCCTATGTTTGCCTGATTGCATTTGGTCGATATTCACTCACAGCATGTGAGATGTAAAATGTTTCTCTCGTTTCCAACAAAAACTTTAGTTGTTGAAAAGAATGTCCGAGTGTTGGATATATGTATATGTTCTTTTTGTCATTCGCCGGTGCAATGCGGAAGTCGTGTGTTATTTGGTCACTGGAATTTTCCAATTTTGAGCTAGTTCCGGACTTTCAGTTCCGTGTGATCAGATGGCGAAAGTACAAGCAAAAAATATTTTTCTAATGTTATTTTTTCTGCGGAAATAACCATGTTGGCTTTTCCTCGAATACCAGAGGAAACGCAAATAGCAGTTACACGAAGAAGAAAATAATCGGTGTCCACACCCTCTATTCCGGATATGTTTTTGTGTCACGCTATAATCTCGACTCATAAATCACCTTGTATTATCAAGACCCGGAATCTTTTTACATTTTCTATTTAAAAACTGTTACCGCCATTAAATTTTAAAAATAAATTGACGCTACATATATATATATACATCACCAATATTTGAATAGTCAAAAATATATCATTTGAATTGATATATCACTGTTACTAACTAAGTATTAGTCGTTGACGGGGCACCATGTATACGTATAGTATCATCCTCTTGTATTTGTGTATTTGTAGGCAGCCATTCAACTAAGTCGATATTCTGTCAATGTCAGGAAAAAATTCGTAATGAATAAATTAAATAGATACTTATACCCATATATAATATGAAGAATTAAATTAAGCCACATGTGGTACAACAATTCTTTAAGATAATTTTATATTGTCTTTATATTAATATATCGGTTCGTCGTTTTCAATGTTTGAATGGGACACATTAATTCGTTCATGTAGCTTTTTTCTTTTTATCTTTAAACGGTGGCCGTAAATATTCATACCTCACTGTGCGCAGCACTTCATTTGCGTATGACTTCCTTCGCATTAAGATAGTGAAAGTACATGCATATGGCTTTGTCGATGTGCGTACCTCACGGCGTCGCTGATTTCAAAACAGCGGGTGAGTGGATTTTCTTTTTGCGATAATGAGGGTTTGTTTGCATACCATTACTGAAATTATCATTTGTTCTTCACCAGTTTTATATTTGTTTTTCGGATAATGGATTTCCATTGATCTGGTTGCTCAATTCAGCCGTGAGAGAAATGGTAATATATATTTGGAAATTGTTACTCCAAGTTGTTGTTGCACGCGAGGTAGTATATATCGCCTGAATCTGACCCATCTGTACTGTTAAAGCAGCGAACAAAATCTATTACCTTGCGCACACGTTCTGCTTTGTCACCCCCTTATTTCAGTTCCGTTTGAACTACTACATTCCTAGTATTCGACTATGCCACGGTGGAGAATAATTCGTATTCCCAATCAGGATATATTAATTGTTTGGAATCAAATTCGTGTTCATACAATATCCTTTGAAAACGTTTTAATCGCATTTACCAATACTATGAGAATAATCGAAATGAAATAAAATACATATTCTAACTTTTCCTTCAATTGGTAATTATATTTATTTTGAAAGCGTCATCAATAACTGCTGTATTCAATTCCGCTCTATTTTCTATTTTTCCAAGTTGGGGAACACTACTTTGCAATCTGAAATACCGTAAATAATTACCTGTTCAATTGAAAAATTCAAACAATAATTTTGGATTTGAGAAACGTACTCACTTCACTTCTGACGCAAAATGGCGCATCACCGGAAAGAAAACCTAAATATGACCTGACGAAATAAGAAACTCCAAACCATTGATAAAACGAATTTCACATTTTGGCCGGTCTTGATGAAGACTTTTGAGTTATCTCAATTGTGATTACGTCATTTTCATTCAAGCGCGACGAGAATAGTCTGATTTGGACGGTGGGGTTGCGAGGGGCCGTTTGATGGTGTATAATGTATGTTATCGTACAAAAGTATCATCACTGAATGATGAATAAGTATGGAATGAGTTATACCGTAATCAAACGGTATATGAGAAAAGTACGATTTCCTGGAGTCTATTTTCAAAAAGAGATAAGACTTCTCGCCGCTCGCTCTCTCACTAGTTAAAAACAGTACAGCTATTATCGTAAACCGGAAATTCGTTCAAATGGAACACAATATTCTGAATTCATTACTTGTCGAATGCCAGGATTTCATGTGCTCTTATTTTGACAGGTATTCCCCTAACAACTTAGTGTACCAGTAGATGGATATTCACAGAATTGGATTTGAGTTTAGTTTACGAGCCTATTATCAAATGACCCAATGCTTTTATATATAACTGCAACAAAACGAAGTATTAGATAGTTGTAATATTGAAATTCAAGACATTGAATTTGTTGACTTTTTTTCTAAATCGATCTATATCAGCCGAAGCTTTGAAATTAAATTGCGACGCCTTATCGCTGTTTCGGGGTTTTTATTTACGACTTTTCTGTTCATTTATTTATTCGCTTGCAACCATCGATCTTCGTATTTCTCCGTTAATTTTCGTGCGTTGTTACAACATGAAATGTTTTTTGTTTGTTTTAATAAACAAAAACGTAGTATCTATGGCATCTGCTAGTCGTTCAACTTGCGCGTGTATGCTTGTAGGTGTATATATTGCTATTATTCTCTGTGTGTAATACTTCCTTAGTCAGATTGATGTAGTATTGTAGTGCATTATATACGCGCCATGACGCTTCCTGTGGATAAAAAACTTGGGATATACGATTGACGCGACTACGTGAGTGTGCATGGCAAGTTTTACCGACTCAGCTTTTTGGTACAAGGCAGTTTTCGTGAGGTATTACATAAATGAAGCTACCAAACGTAATTAAAGCGCGAAAAACAAATTTTTGTCAGAACGATTTATATTTAGTTTGCATTGTTTTAGTTTACGTTGCAATGAAGGTAATTTTTTATCTTCCTCCGATGTAGAGAACAATTGTTACACTGATTGATGCTAGTCAAACAAGAGTACCTAGATTGTATTTACCTTAATCACATACAAAAACCAACTCGACAATATCGGATTTTGCTTTCCCCAAATAAAATGTAGCAGATTTGTACAGCAGCTTCGAAGATGTATGTATTAAGATTGGAATTAGTGGAATAAAATTAAAATTTAATTAATGTTAATTTCCGCTTTAAAATCACATTCATTTGCGACGTACTTGTCCGTCTAAAATATTGTCTCGGACAAAGGATGAGTTAGACTTACACTCGACCGCAACTTCCCTGTCGGTCAATATAGCAAGCGGATTATTTAATTGCGGAAGAATGGGCCTATTTTGCGAGTAGTAATTATTTGGATTATTTTCATGTGAAGAAACGAGCCGCTATTTCCGTCTTCAGTCGACATGAACAGCATAAGCGCTGCTGCGAATGGCGGGCGTTCATCCTAAATCGTATAACAAGCAGTTTCCGGCAGTGTTCTCGTGTTGCGCTGGTTAGCGCGAGCTCTAGAAAAGACTATAGTGCGGCATAGCCTCCAACAGGAAGTACGTACGCGCGAGAGAGCACTCCAGCGTCAAATTATATGTATATAATATCAAGGCTTCCAGTACCGGAAAAGAGAAGGAAAAAAGAGGTCGAGCTAAGCAATTGTTTGTGAGGGTTTGTGACTCCTTCTAAGTGATGCAGAGTCGATCGCAGGCGGGAAGTGCTAATGAGTAGTATGCAGTGCCGAGAATTTCAGCAAGCAACCTGACAGCGTGTTTGCGCAGTTTCTAAAGGAAGTCGATGCCACTTGTTGTAGGTTTCTAAAATTACTGCAAAGTGCGCTGTTAGATTGCTTATTTAATAAATTATGATTGTATTAGCGGAGAGCGGGCGTTTTCAGAACAGCTTGTTAGTTGGCAGTTAATCCCATTTTCTTGTTATTTGAGAGAAGTTGACAACAGGCGTGTTCACTCGGTACTGGAACCGAAAGTATGGGCTTGACGTTATATCTGACTTACATACCCACACTTGGAATGAGATCAGTGATTTAACACGCAACTGTTTGCAAATAAATTGATTCTGTCTCACGTGAGCCTGTCTTGAAGTTGGCGTTCGTCACTGGCGTACATTAAATACATTTTGATGTGCCAGTTTTAAAAAATATTAGGATTGACGATATAAATGTATACTGGTATAAATGAAAAATCAATCTTACTTGAGAGCCATTTCTTCTGATTTAGTATTGGCTATATTAGAATATTACCAATATACTTTCGTATTTTAATACCCAACTTGGAAACTATAGCCCTGAAGTAAAAATTATCAACTATTCAACATTGATTATTAGTTGACACCTATCATGATTTTCGAATTGATAATAGTGAAAATATTCAAATCTAACATATTTCTATATTTCTTTTTCTTTTCTTTCATTATCAATATTCACTGAAATTTGCGACAAATCACTATGGAAACAGACGGCAAAAAAATGATGATGGACACTCTGGAAGATTATGATTTGCATGAGTCTCCTCCGGACAAGAGATTAAAGTTAGATGGAAACATTCCTCAACACGTGGCGGCGCAGTTGCCAAGAGGTAAACATTGCTTTATTATTTATACCCCTTCACCCGCACTCCAAAACCAAAGTTTCCCAATGGCAACTTCAATTTCGTTTTATTCAATATTCCAAATTGTTGTTGGCACTTGATGCCTATGTAGTATGCATAAAGTGCAAAATTTGTTGTCTATTTGTCATGTTATTGTTGATTAACGTCGGTGCTGAATATGCGTTGCCTGCTGGAATACGAAAACTGGCACCTGGATCACGTTGTTCCATGAGCTGTATTTTAGGCAAATACGTAAATACACATGCATTTTCACGTATGAGCAACTAGCTGTTAAGTACATTTTTGTCCATTAAGATGAAGCGGCCATCGGTAATGGACGAAATACATTTGCAAAATGCCACCAATAAATTACTTAGGCTTATGGCGGAAAAATACGTCCATGCACAATTGTTTGCTGATTTTGTCATAATTTGGCACAGTTTCAAACGGCTGCTTTGCCATACGCATGTTGTTTCTCGATACCGCTACCGACAGAAAACACGAAATAAAATAAAATCTAGCGGTATTAGCTTCTCGGCGGAACAATTACCGGAAATACGCATTTAGACCTAAAACCATGCGGTCCTCTACATGTTGCATCATCAGTTAACTGACTTTGTTTTTCTCTTAGTTGATGTCCCTAGTAAGAACAGCCTAATTTTTATAAAGTAGCATACTTTGCAAAAAGAGTTATGAAAATGACTTTCGTGTATTCTTTCATGGTTAGCATCGAGTTAATTCAAATTACTGAAATGAACTATACAAAAAAACGTTTGAATCTGTAAAATAATGGCATGACTTGTATCGTTATTTTTCTGCCCTAAAGCGGGAGCCTATTCGCAAATATGTCTTCGCGTATTCTTTATTTTACAATATACGAATAGGTTATTCAACGAGATTTAGGTGCCACGAGACGTGAGACTAAAATATCTCAGAATTGTATGTGCGGCCGATGAAAGAAACCATGCGATTCGGTTGCCCACAAACCACAAGGCCGTAATCCAGATAGTGTTCCCATTAGAAAACAAATTAATGTGAGTCATTTAGACGGAATTTATGTATTTGATGTTGAATTATTTTTGTATCAGTATGCTCTCCCAGTTTTTTATCAATTATTTATTAGAGATTCGTGATTGGAATCTAGTAATGTATTCTGCACTAAGTCGTGAAAGGGAACACGAAAAATACCCCGCCGTAACATGTCAGTCTGAACAGAATCGGCATTTCCGGAACCCGGATGTGTGAGCCGATGTTTCGATAGCTCCTGCTTTGTTGTTATCCCTTCGTCATTGGCCAGCATTGACCCACCAATTTACCAAGCATTCATGGCCGATTTATATTTTCGCATTCTTGTCATAGGTCCGTCACGTGATCCATTTTATAGGTACGAAACTCCTACCGTTGTTGAAAACAAACATTAAATCGATAAAGTTCTATGTAGTTGCTCTCTCATACATGGCAACAATTAATACAAATAAGTATATATATATATTATGATAATTGATGAATTCTCTTGGAGATTTACACCTAGCAAAACGACTTTAAGACTGAAATCAAGTCGAAAAATGACAAGATTGTGTTGTGTTTCGATGGTTAGACTTGGAATTTTTTGGCGTTTATTTCATTTGTTTTCTTTTCCGACAGGGTCTTCTTGTCGGATTTGGCGCCTGAATTTTTCAAGTTTTCTAACACTCATCCAACCGGTAACGAATCCCATCATTTTAACCGCAAAGTGTATGTCCCCTTTCAGATTGGTAGCCTAACCCGTTATTAGAAATACATACTTTCTGCTTCATTTTGAATTATAATGGGTAGTCCATGGGTTAAACCTTTCGCGTCGCGGAAATGCCGACCGACAAGAATAACGATCGACCGGAAGCAGTCTACGGCACTCATGTCGTATCTAACACGAAAACGTGTACGTTTCGACTCTATTAAGCATTCGCCATTCCCCCTGCGGTGCGTGATTGAGCGGCGATATTTACCCTCTTCTTACCGCCCTATTCCAACACTGCTACAAAAGGAACAGATTCCATTTGATGTCGGTAACTAGTTTGGAAGGAAAGGTTAAAACATCCGGAGATAAAAAACAAAATGGAACTAATATAGGCGAGACGAAATGATAAAGGACATGCGGAAACCGTTACGACATCCGTTTCGTTTTTTTAGGTTAACCAAGATGGCGAATACGGGATATGAATAATGTCTATTGTAGACGGCACTGTTGCTACTGTTAATGATTTCACAACATTTGGAAAAATATTGTACTGTTAAGAAATTTGTGCAATTGATGTTAATATTTTGCTCAATTTTCAATCCAGCCAACTGTATGTAAATTTATTGTCTTGTCGAATATGAGACATAAAATTGAGCCGTTGACCTTCTGTGTACGTATCGCGCAGTGTAATGATTGGGAACGAAATTTTGACAAAACCGTCGTCACCCTTAAAGGCATTTCGTATTGAAGTTATATATACACATATCAGCCTCTGGTCTGCAAATTAGTAAATAACTGTGATATCTGATTTATGCAGTGCGGTTTTTGACTGACAATATCGTTTCGGCTAAATTTAAAATTTCGTATTATAATATTAGCTTCACTTGCGTTTGACAGATGCTTATAGGCACTCATCAAAAGTAGGAGTTCACAGAATTTGTATTATGTTTGTATACAAATATGGCGCAGCATTTAAATGAATAAATAAACATACATTCGCCATAAGTTAAAATATACTCTCACTTTTCAGGATGATATTTTTATCTTCAAGTTAAATTTGGATTATCGTGCGAATATATCTTGGTATTCATACGCAATCCACCTGTATAAAATCATCACCATTGCCTTAAAAGGACAGTGATATACCGACTGAAATGTTTATGGAACGTATTATATAGGAACCCCTGTAGAGTCACAATTTGACGTATGACGCATCCCGTTTACGTCACGTGTAACAGTATGTAAGAGTCATCTCATAGGAATATCTCACCTCTGAGTTTAGCTCGTCTTACAAAAACGGAGGTTATATTAATTTTCAACTGGCGTCCGTGCCAAGTCCCGCCTACTCTAGAGCTCGTAGAGGTCGCTAGAATCGTAATTGCCGCGAACATGATTAACTGTTATACAAATTCATAAAATATGTGCATAGAAAAAAGTTTTTAGGAGGAATATGAATCATGTTTAACTATTCCTCATTTTTTTATACTCATTCTTCATTCGCTTATTAGGATATCCCTTATGACAAAAAGTCTTATTTTTGTACCTAAACAAACTACTCCTATTTCCGATAACCCATTTATATAACCTCATTTGCTTATTATATATTTCCAAATATATATATTCATATCGTTTCTGTCTGCAGAGGAATTGTTTACAGAATATGACAAGTCAACATTGTTATTTCCAACAGTTATAAAACAAAACTGGACAACAGCCATAGTAGCTTTGATGAATTTAGGAGTTGTTTTTGTATAAAATATTGCGAGAAAAAAAATACAGAAAAAAAATATTTGAGCGTAAAATTTTGTAATAATCTCCACCCCATATTTAAACTATAAAGAACGAATTAAAGGTAGCAAATGAAGCATATTTTAAAAATTTTAACTTCTGTTTTTCGATAACTCCGAGTATGGCATTTCTGAACAAAATTGTTGCTGTAACCAACTTAAAAACTTCTTTTGCAACCTATTTAAGTTCATACTCTATCTGTGATGCTGCGAAGGTCAATTTTTTAATATGGTGTCGTCAATTATAGCATAAATTGAATAAAACTAAATATAAAGTTGGATCATTGATTGATGACATGTCATATGAAAATGTCACTTATGCTCAGACATGTTATAACAAACAGTGTTTGTTAAGTTTTATAAGTACAGCCAGTGTCATTACTAGTTTCCAATACCACAAGTCAAAATAAACCTCAACCTCATCCAAAAGTATAAATTTTGACACAATTTTCGTCAGTGCTAAATTACGTCAACCCAATGCATAATCTTGCTATCCAGTGGCGAGAATAACCGTTTCTTAAGCATAAAACAATTTCATTTTCTGAGAATGTATCACGAAGGAAACTGCCATTACCACCACCCTATTGTAAAGCGCTTGACGGTTTTAAAAACGGAAGGAAAGTTCGACAGGGAACATTAATTACAGAAATGACTACGCATTTATTGTTCGCTCTAGGTTTTGGCGATGTTATTTAACATCATAGGTTTTATTACGTGATTTCTGTGCCAAAGATTGCAAATTACCCGAAATCCATTTCACGTATGACAAATGGAAAGTATTGCCGTTCTAATAAGCTTTATTCAAAGGCCATGTTTTTTATATACTTGATGTGGATTTAGTCGATCGATCGCCTGTATTATTAGATTGCTGCTGTTTTGTTTTATTTCCGTATGGGTTAGCACGCTGTTCTGACGCATTGAATGATTCGAAAAGGCGGACATAAATTCCCTATTAGTTTTGGTTCGAGATACCGCGCGTGATTTTAGGTTACATATCTTTTCTGTTGTCATTCACGTCACAAATAAAAAAGATTTTGCCCAAGTTTCAATTATGTGTTGCGAGAAAAGTAGGGATATTTTTTACTTTAGTTCAGCGAATATTTATAATTTCCGCGAGAATCACTTAAAATGGACAACAGTTTCAGACGTGGTTTATTTGCCAGTTGTTTGCATACGCGGAAGTATATACGTATTTATTTATTTCATGGAGATTCATAATTGTATCGTATATCGTACGTAGTATCGCTGTAAACACTTGAAAACTGAGCCCCGAAAGCATGCAGTGCGAGCGGGGCTCTCAGCTATCAGTCGGACCACACAATAGTTATTGTAATCTATAAATTACAGAATATAAAACACTGTCAAAATACTTCAATTGGAATTTGGAACTTGTTTTTAAATATATACGCATTTTGATTTCAGTATTGGACATGAACGTTACTCTATGGCAATTTCTTCTCGAATTATTGATGGATGGAAACAACAGTCATCTGATAAGCTGGACTTCCAATGACGGAGAGTTCAAGCTTCATAACTCAGAAGAGGTTGCGAGACTTTGGGGTCTGAGAAAAAACAAGACAAATATGAATTACGATAAATTGAGCAGGGCTCTCCGATATTATTACGATAAAGTGAGTATTTTATATTGTAATTGTATTATTATTTTCATTTTTACGTACATCTAAAACGCGAAGTTTACCTAAAACTGTCATCGCAGTACGAGAAAAAAATGAAACGGAGCAAATTTTCGTTTGTATAAATTTTAAATAATAGAACGTTACGTATGTTTCGTCTATACGTATAAATACCAATTACGAATAAATGAGCTACTCTCGCGACATTCCAATTTCTTTTCTGTGAGCCACCAAATGTAAAATGACATATAACGTATAGGCTGTAAACAGACAGATCTCGGTTACTTAAAATATGGGAGTTTTTTAATATATATGGGAAAATATTGAAGTTTCCGGATGTTGAAAAATGGCCTGAACCTTTTATAAATATAAAATACGTTATTGCAACCATATCAGTTGTAAAAAAATGGCTATGTGTCAGATACGACGCATGCCCGGAGACGGTGTGCTGGAAACTATATAAAAATCGGATCTCGTGGACGAATGACGCAATATGGCTGTAGGAACACGAATTCACAAAATGAATGAATTTTTTACTGACCAAGATTGATTGTTTATCTGTTTTCGGGTGATGCATTATTACATTGTAGGAAATTAGGAAATCGTTGTTTCCGTTCAAGCCCCGCAAGCGCTGACGATTTGCAGTTCTAGCGCGATTTATATTCAAATTTGAGCGGTAAACAAGCATTTCATTGTGAAAATCGAAGTAACGGTTTATCCTAGTTTAAATTATAAAATACTGACAGTTTATGTGAATAGTAATATTTTTAATTAATTATTACGAATAATGGATGGTATTTCGCCGCACCAAATTAGCTTATTTCACATTTCAGGGGTTGAGGAAATGGCATTTTTTGTAATTTCCAGATATGTACAGCTGGACCAAAATCGACATGAGGCATTACCTAATCAAAACTAAAACAGTTAGATTTTTTAAACCCGCGCACCAAAAGATGGTTCCTGTCCTTGTCCATATTAAAAAAAAGATCAAAAAAGTCCATTTCTGAAAAATGTGACATATGCTTTGGTTTTACTGCATGCAGCGATGTATTATGAGTCGGATATTTATTATTTGTCGTTTATCAACATCGGTAAATATTACTTTTGGTTGTCTAATCAACTTAGCTCAGGTTATCCTTTCTGTAAGCATTAGTTGACATTGGATAATAAGCAGAGCCTCAATAAGTTTGAAATACTCGCGAAAAAGACAAGCTCAGCTTCAAGCCAGTCAAAAAGCAAAAGATCAAAATGCGTGAATAAAAAATAATGATGAAAAATTAAAACTCGGAATATTTTTGTACCCTTATTATCCTAGTGTATTTAATTACAAAGTGCAGGATAACGATAGATTTATTTTTTGGATATCCTTTTCCGGTGTACGAGGCGACGGCGCGGAATTCGGAGACCAGGTGGACGGTTTGATGTGTGTGTCTGCGACCCTAATAGCAATACCCGATACATCTAATACATAATAGATGTCTAGAAAGCAGAAGAGTTTTTAACATAGAATTACGGTTTCCTGCGGATTTTCGCGACGGAACATGTAACACTTTTCAACGTGATACGTCGATGTTTGGTTTAGTATGGCCAAACAAGAAATATTATTTTAAAGTTGTTTTCGTTCTTCCCATTTTTGGTTGATTAGTTGGAAATGGCACCGAACAGGAAACCCATGTCAGCGAACTCCGCGCAAATTAAGCGAAAAAAATGTTTCTATCAATCGTCATCCTCTATTGTCAGCGATGTGATTCCTCATTTTAACAAAATACTATCAATATTACAGACAAAGTCCGGTGGGAATGTCCAAAATTAGCTAGTTTGTCGCGATTGGTTACGAAATTGGATAGCCATTCCTCTCCGCTTTTAATTACTCACGTGATGTGTAATTCGCCACCGTCGCCGACGTGTCTCAGGCTAGAGAGCATGCATGGTCGAATCGTGTTCATTGAAAAATAAATATAACCATTGTGAAAACATACTTTTATATGAACATCACTGTAAATTTACGGCTAAGGCTTGAAAAACAAGATACGGATTGACAACACCCGCTTATGATTTCGACTGAGTCACTGTTACCGCTAACAAAAAACATAATTTTCGTCGTCCGCTTTTTTATATTTATCGTCAACAATGCGAAGCTGTATATGCGAAATACTTGAATGATGATGTCGAATTCGATCTGTCCCTCTAACATTATGACAAATATTAGATTCGTATTTTGAATTAGTCTTTCAATCGCTGTCACAGACGACAAAGAAATGGAAAAATGTAAATAAACATTGATTATGGATGAGCATAAAAGAAGGATAAGTAGTTAGTCCCGCAGAAACCAAATCATTAGCGTAAGTAAACATTGGTTATATTTGAAATTTAGATTTTTGGCCCTTTATTTCAACTGAATCAAAATAATGTCAATGCATTTCCGATAGCATTCTCGAAATGTTGACAACGCCCAAATAATAACCTTTGAAAGGTAGTGCCAGGCAATCATGATCGGCATCCGACGAGTTGAGAGAATTTTAAAACTTTAATTTTCTGTATTCCCTTTGTAACTTGCCTGCGGCAGCTTTTACTGGTAATTTCCGGTTCTCCCCACTAAATTGCTCAATTTAACCTTGTATTCTATCGCGAATGTACGGATACTTCGCCCTGCTCTGAATAATTTCACTTAATTAGTTGATAAGTCTTTGGTAATGACTTCCAAGTTCAACTATTAAAAGCTGGGGAACTGTTTTTAATATGAAAATGTGCAAAATCTTTTGGCATTTTACGTATGAGCTGGCATATCTTACCACAGAATCCATCGCCGTTAACAAGCTTCACAATTGCTACTTGATTTTAATAATTATAACAATAATTTTCACGGTTTACCTCTTAGGCGCCTTTTGTTCCGCCGGATAGCGTCATTCTAGGTCAACGGATTAAGTGGTTATTATTACATTTTTACCGTGTACTTTATAATGAATAGAAGCTTAATTGTATTATAATGAGTTAATTATGCCCTTCCATTGTTGCCCTGTGTCTAAGTTAATTTGAATATAAAGAATAATTCAAATGTTAAATTTAAGTTATAATTTTCCAACCCTATTCTTTGTCCTGATTATTATACACTAAAACATTCCGAATGGAAGTTATTTTTTCAAATGATTTGTTGCAGAAACTTTTATATACACACAATATACTGTATTATCATATTTTGTACTTATTTTTTACAGAATATTATCAAAAAAGTGAACGGACAAAAATTCGTCTACAAATTTGTATCCTTCCCTGAAATAATAAAAACAGAAACAAAGATTCCATTTCGAGTCAAGATGGAACGAATGAGTCACCCATCGTCAGAAAGCGCTGACGAAGGAAGAGCATCACCACCCACGCAGTCGAGCATGTCAAGTCACGTGATGGACAAATTGGAAAATTACAATAACAGCGCAGATGAGCGAATGTGGCGACCAGCCCAGCAAAGTACAGGACTTAGCTTCCCGCCAAATAAACGAGACATTTACGGATCCCAATATTCCCAAAGTCCAAGATATGATGCTGGTTCTGATGAAGAAGAATTGTCACGAAGGAGGACGGAATACGCAAACGCCATGAAGTATATGAATCCTTTGTCTGGCATTGAGAGTCTAACGAAAGAAGAACAAGTCGCCAGATCAGCAGTGGCTTTTTGGGCCGAGATACAGCAGGCGGCGGCTGTAGCTGCCGCAGCGAATCTTCACAAAAATTCTGTTCAACAACCTAGAAACAGTGCGGGTAAGAATTTTGGTCTCATGGAGTTTCCTTGCGCATTAGGATCAAATAGCAAAGTCTCTATACTACAAGTATATCCATAACCATATCTACTCCCAGTTTTTGGTAAATTTTTATTCAATCTGCTCAATTCAATTTAATTATTACTCCAAACCCTTATCAAGAACACAAAAACACAAATGAATGAATAAATACAAATAAAAGTAGAAACAGTATTGACAAATACATGTAAAGACTGTTGGATAAAAACAGAATTTTTTTAGATTAAATATCGACCCTGTAAGACACCCTGTAGGACTCGAAATGATAGTATAAGTATAACTTAGTATTATGACTAGCAAAGTCACCCATTGTGAATTTTTTCTCATCTTTTGATTATTATTTGACAGATTTTGGAAGATCCAGTCCTCGACGTTCATACTCGCCACCAAGTCCTAATAGACTAAGCAACGCTTGGCAGAATCATAACAGCAACAACATGTACAATAAAACACACGAGCAACTTCAACAACAAGCACTGTATGATCGACTGTATAATATGCAAAAACTGTCCGAAAGCAGGAATTCAAGAAGGACACCACCACAAGATCAAGATTCGTATTCAAGAAACCGGCACCCCGAATCTTATATCAAAGAAGAAGTCGATATTGACCGATATCAGCAATCTTCATCTGGAAGCCAAAAATCAATTTCTCGACACCAAGAGATAATGGAACAAAGAATGAATGAAGAGCGTAAGAGAAGCACGGAAGAACTGATCAATTATAATAACAGGGCTCTACAGAATGCCATCCTGGCACGGGCACCTAAAAACGACTTATTTGGCGAATCGCCGTTCACGGTACATTCTCAGGGTTCGCTCGCAGTGACGTCTAACCATTCTCCAGATGGGCGATCCCATTCTGATGACAGAGCAAGACAAGAAATGCGATCATATTCACCTGCCAATCACTCATCACCAGAATCATCTCATATTCATAAATCACCTATTCATCCACATATTCATCATAGTTCTGGTCCAACAATACAACTACACCGACCATCCGAAGAAAAACCATCTCTTCGACATCCTCATCTTCGCTTCCGTGAAAGGTCACCCACGCCACAAAAAGGTGAAAGCACGCCTTGTAAAGTTAGCAGCCGATCGTCTTCACCCAACGAACGTTTTGACAAAAGTGATGTAAAATCCAGCGAATTGAAGTTTCCTGCAAGAGCCGCATCACCAATAGACCCCGTTGCCATGACAGCATCGTTTGATTCTCAAAATACCAATGCAGCAGCCACCGCAACGATGTTGATGATGAGAATGATGGGTAATCATGTACCGCGTGGAATTATGGGACAAAATGACAATAAATCAGATGGTGAGGCCTCAATAAACATGAAAGAAGAACAAGAAAACAAAACTAAATCATATTCTTTCAAACAAAGAGACGAGTTGTTGAAAGAACTAGGTCTCCCCAAGTGTGATGTATTATCGAACGTCCTTCCATTGTCGCAAGTAAGACAAGGAGAAAAACCTTTGAATCTATGCACATCACCACGATCTTCTGCTTCTTCTCCAAAATCCACTACCTCTTCCAGGAACTCACCCGTACCAAACTTCAACAGAAAACGAAAAGCCGACAGTCTGAATGGATCGAGGCCAAACTCTCGACCTAATTCAGTATCGCCACTCACTATAGAAAGAACAACAAGTTCGCCGCAATTGGAAAAATCTATCACGAAAACGAATGAAGGTACCAATAAAATCCGACGAAATATTTCCGGTAAAAAGTCGATTGACAGGAAGCCCAGTCCTATTGACCTCAGTCGAGCGAAAAGAAGTGGTGAAGACGGTGATGACTTCGGTATGTTGCCTAGGTTTCACGCTGGACTCTTGGGAAACGTGTCGTTATTTCCTGACGGACGAAGCATTAACACTCCAGACGCTGTTTCTCGGAAAACCCCATCCGATACAACTGGATCGTTCTTTTCGGGACCAGCATTGATGACTCCGTCACCAATGGTAAGTTGTCTAGTTATTCAAAGCCAAATATGACCATTGTCAATTCTCCAGTGGAATCAAATAATATTATCGTTCAATTTTTATTGTTTAATTTCTTGTAAACACCTTTTATAATATATCCAATTTATAGTTTATATAATCAATATCTTTACGCATTTTGCCGCACAGAACCTATAAACAACTACATTTTTCAACTTTCAGGTAATACCAAGCATTACATTCTGGAGTACGCTCAGCCCGATGAGCGCTAAAGATGGCGAAGCACCTAAGTTTTCATTCATGCCTTCAACGACGAATTCAAATTCACCGAACTCGAATCAGACAATATTTCAATTCCCCACTATAGTAAACGGTCAAATGACATTAGCAGGAGTTCCCGTTCGACCTATCGCCGCAGCACTCGGCCACCCTATTCCAGCAAGTCACGTAAGCACAGTTGCAACTCAACTATCAAGCAAGATTACATCAGTTTCCTCTCCACTCACTCAGCAATCACCAAACGAACTATCTGTTCCCACTTCATAAATAGAATATTGATGATGCAATTTTTTTAAATTTCTTATTAACTTTTTGTAATCGATGTTATATCGACGAAATGATTGCATATTTATTATTGCTATAAGTTGCCAATTTTCATGCTTCCAATATTTTTTGTGAAAAATAATAGAATAACAAAGCAAATATGAATATAATGTTGTCATGAATGCGCTACTTCCACGTAATTTGACCATGGTATTTCCTCATATTGGTCAAAGCTATGACCTGATCAGCTGTGACGATAGTTTGTTATCTCGATTTTGGTCTTATGTTTCAGTTATAAATATAGTTAATTTCATTACATGTAGCTCCATTGACCATTATACAGACATAAATACATACATAAATTAACAATATCCTCTGTGGGAAATCTGTATGAATGTACACCATATATTCTCCAGCACCTTAGTACCAGAGTACTGATCTAGTACTAATTTTTCAAAGCATTACAATGTACAAGCATAAATTTTTTGATGAACATGGTATTTTAAAAGGTAATCTAAAAAAAGCTGTTTTGTTTGAACAACAAATTTTTTTAATCACTATTTTATTTAAATCATAAAAATGAAAGTAATTAAAAATTCTGCATAACAAAATGTACTTAGATATACGTAACCCAACTTTGAATAAATTTAAAACTTCAGAAATAATTTCATTTGACGCTTAATTTTGAAAATTGTGTCATTTTAGTACAATCAGAAACATTTTAAGTGCTGTCCAGTAAGCACCACTGGTTCAAATTTGACAAAAAAAGTTTTAATTTCCACTGTTTTTTTTTGTGATCTTGGAATATGTATGCCATATGGGTCGGGCATTTTGATTTTGAATGTCGACTGAAATATTTTGGTCTAGCATGAACTATTTGCCAACAATTCTGGGCCTAAATCTAATGAAGAAACTAATTCTACTTCACACCTATAGTTTGTACATTTCACAACAACAGCCATACATAACCACTGGTTCCATCCACATATTTGATTTGTACTCATATTGATTAATATTATGAATGTTTGTACTGTATTTCCTCACATTTTCTTCGCTGTTGCCAACTTGTTTGTACTCTATTTTGCATTCATTTGAGACTGATTTGGTTTTTACGTTGCTGCATCATAGCCTATTATTACAACACTGTTTCAATTTTCTGTCGCCTGTTTTATGCTTTCGTATGCTACTTTTTGCAATTCTACTGTTTCATCGCGACCGATCGGTTCTATATTACAATTGCAATGCTGTTCGCTTTATTATTTTTTCAAACTTATGTGTAATTTTTTTGTTTGGGTGAGTCGTGGATAAGCGACTGACAAAATGGACGCTTCTTATTTCTATTAAAATTTTCTAAAAACATTTGCCATTTTTTAAGTTTGTGGTCGGTTGTGATATACGCGGCTTACGGCTTAGTCAGTCATATGGTGAACCACGACCTCTCGTCCAACATATCGGGGATGGAATTAGTTGGCCAGATATTAGTTTCAGGCGCATGGACTTGATGGTGGATTGTAACCTACCAGCGGTTACGGGAACAACCGCACGGCGGCAAAGAGTCCAGAATCCTCCCATAAATATCCCCGCGGGATTTGAACCTGCGAACCCACGCAGGGTAATCAGATAGTGCCGAACTGAGTTATAAGTACTATAGAGATATCTTTGTCGGCGATACCAACTAAAAACGCCGATACCGATTTTCCAAAAAAGTCGATATTCCGACACTATATAATTATTATCTCAAGTGTGCAGGGCAGATGGGTTAAAATAATAGTCTTTGAGCATTATTTATAGTGCAGATTATTTCAGATTGAAAAAGAGATATATCACATATTAGGAAATCCAATTTCGTTTATAGATTTAGATGCATTGTGCCCGGGCGCTAATAATCTCGGTGTTCAATTAGAAAACTCATCGGGTTTGGCTAATGAGGGTGGTAAAATGAATGAATGTTTACTTATCCTACCAAACTGATACATTGGGTTTCATGTACAGGATTTTGTGCCAATACAACGCCATATTTTGTATTTTACACATTGGAAAATCCACTAATATTCGATTGATATAGTGTTTCATTATTGTCAGGTAATATTAAAAATGTCAATATAATATAACAATTTAACAGCAAAAATATCCAAATTTGTTCAGCTGATAAATAACTAAAAACAGGTCAGAATTCCCGTTTCTACTCGCGGGGGTGGTGACGTACATGGCTCATAGTTCACGCTCTATACAGGAAAAAAACAATTTCAGTATAAATATTCTAACTTATTTTTTAAAACATTTTGGATCATATTAAAAAGGTAAATATATCGGTCTACATTTAGCCTATAAAGATACACTACCGATATCGAAAATTTGGCCAATACATCGGTGCATTTCTAATATGTACACGGACTGCGCAGTTAGGACTACGCATTAGCTTGACTTTGAACATACAGATATAGCTTTGTAAGCAATACGATTGAAAAAATTCAAGCAGGTTGACCACTGTATTGATGGTGGAAAACAACATCAACAGACGATAGTGTAATGATCGGTTCCACTGAGCAGAAAGAAATGTTCAAAAACCCACTGGTGTAAGCAAAGCAAATATTTAACTCTACTCGGAAGCACCTGCACTCATGTGAGCAGAGATTTTGGTATCGAACATTAACAAAAACAAACGGTGAACTTTGCTCTTTGGACTTTTGAACTATTTTAAAAATATCGACTTCAACAATTGTGCCCAATTATGAGAAGCTCCGGCGAAAGATGCAACGTTTCTTATTGATGATTGGATATTGTGTCGCTCAGGTGTTACGTTGTTTGTGTGCTATATTCCTGTCAATGTGGCATCAGGGCCGGATAATGCCTTCAATAGGCCCTGAGCACTTAAGACTTCGGTGCCATATATATATATAAGATATATTGAAATTGGTGTTTCATGTTATTTGAAATTGAATAAGTAAGTTTCAGTATTCATTACTGATATAAGGCCACGTTCAGGTTATATATGAGGGTAAGCTGAGAAAGAAAAAAAATAAGCAAAAATATATTTCCACCGGGCTAATATTGAGGTCAGAATCATCAGACAAACCCTATAACATGATATATTTTATACTGTAATAACGATAACTTATGGCCCGTGAAAAATTGTTGTTGTTTGTTGCGGCCCTTTCATTCCTCTTAGTTGTGCAGTCCTGCTGCGCCATATGAAAGAAAACGAGCTTTGAAAACGTATACGTAAAACCTCAGATGATAAAATGAGCATGACATAGTTCGGTGAATTGAGTGGCGTCACCCAAAAGCTATAACAATTCGTTTTCTCGAACTGTACTGAAAACCTGCTGATTATTAATTAAAATATACTGCGGAATATTTTTCAACTTGGTCTCTATTTTGACTTGATACAGTGAGATTGATCGCATTCTTACCAGACCTTAATTTTAGATTAAATACGCTTGACTCAACAAATAAAAAGTGAATGTATCATAATTGCTGGCAATGTAGATTTATTGCACCGATTTCGTGCAAATTTCGTGAAACGCATTAACATTTGTATTGCAAATGGATCATATTGAAGATGTTGTTTAAAATTAAAAGAAATAGCGAAAATAATATTAGTTTTAATTACATACTAAAAAATGATCTCCCAGACGTTACGGACACCCTGTACGTATTATACTGAGTGATTGCGTACAAGCGTACTGGGTTGGCCATAGACTCACGCCCGCTTTTCATCCTTACGAGTCGAAGGTATTATGACGTCACGTTTTTTGGTACCATGATGATTTGATGTTGAACTTCTTGCTGTGTGTAAATTCACGTTATTATGAAATAAACGTACATGTAACCACAATTGTATAGCTTACGCATACCTTTGCATACGTACTAAGTTGCAAAGCAATTTACGGTGAAAAATCCAAGTACTACAACCGATAGTAGTGATTCTGATGGCACATCATTTATGCATCTGAAACACAAATATCAATTTCTCGTGGTCTGGAACACAGGTTCCTCAAGCTGAAATAATATTCACTGTAAATATAGTTCGCAGTCACCTAGCTTTTCCATTCTATCCCTTAGCTTACAGTCAAGATGATAATAACATATTGTCATAATATCGGTATTCACGTTTTTTCGTTGGTATCGGCGAAAATGGTATCAGTCCATCTCTACATGATACTACATATTTTCACTCCAATTTCACGCAAAAATTCCGGGAAAGTAAACCAAAAATCCACCATCAGCGCCATTGGTAGAGATTGTGATGAATGCCAAGTATGCAGTTATGGCCATTGTTCTAACAAAAATTCTCCAATAGCCTCCATTGACTCTTTAATTTTATTTCGGGAAGTAAATCATAAATTATATTGAACTTTATGTAAACATTCATTACTCTAATTTCTCATCTGATCCTGTAATAAATGCAGCGGATGCAACTAGTTTCAACATCTTTTTCCGTATTAACTCATCAAAGTGTGTTTTGATTTTCTGTCCATCCATAATTTTGATATCAATGAATTGTTCTTGTTGGAATAAAATGAACTGATACAGTGACTGATTATGAGATTCGGAAAAAGGCGCAGTATACTCTGAAAAAAACAACATCAAACGTAAAAGTATAGACGGGTATTCAAGCTACAGAAACAATAATTAACAAAACCGGTACTTCCGTAGTATGTGTACCAGGTTAGGGTTAGGCCATAATTTTCCTTATTTTAGTTCTATTACGAGTTCGAGGACTGTCTGTGTTAGCCAAGTGAATATCTCCCTGCCCATATGTTTCAGTCCCTTTACACAACTTGATGTAAAATAAGCGAACAAAACTATTTACCTCCATATTGGTACATTCCGGAGCGCCAACCAACCATGGTAAAATTGCGATTGAAAATTACAAATATTATAAACTAAATGCTGGCTCGCTAACCTTTAATCTCAATTCCCATGTTTCGCACATTCCATTTGTATATTCCCTGCGCTAAATTATTCCCTTCAAGGTTCGATACCATCCATTTTATAATGTTTTGGTCGTCTTCGAAAATGTCTTCCAATCCACTTCTTGCCCGTGCCAAAACAAGCGAGTATAATTCTCCCTAAATAGCAAGTTGGAACATCGAGAGTCGTGTTGTCTCCAAATGACATATTTGTTTTATGCAAACCTCCCTAAACTCCTACCTTTTTGGCGCTCGAAAATCTCACGGTAGGTTTTTCATCACCATGCTTGCGAAAGAAGGTGTCCGATACAAACTGAAACTTCTTTCCTGTATTGAAATAATAAGGTCAGAAGAACCGAACTAACAACCAAAAGGTTGTGCTAAAAAAATCGTTTGTAACTCGAAGAACAATACAAAGATAGGAATTAGATTTGTTTGATTCATGTTATATAACGCCACTACCGCTCTTAAAACTTGCAATCGATAAACGTATTGCAAAGTGTCTATTGCATGGGGTGATAGTTTGCCAGAATTAATTTTGAATAAATAAACGCCTACCTGTTGGCTTTTTGCTTGAGCAGGTGATTACATAAACGGGCATCATGGCATTTCCCCACAGAGTATATGTTACAATCAGGTCGATGTCCCCGCGTTTTCGGCATTTTCCAGTCACATGCTTGTCGAAGTTGGATAATCTTTCCCCATTCGTGCGACGCAGTGGCCGAGGCGTCGCCTTAAAAAGATTCTCTTCACTTATATGGAAATCGACATTTTCATTAACCCTTGTGTAATATGCAAGCACGAATGTCAGAAAGGCCATGAAAGCAACGTATCCGCATAACTTCAAGCATTTAGACCTTATTTTCCTCATATTAGCAAGCTCTTTCCTCTGACCACATCAACGTCGAGCGCACAAAATACACCATATTTGAATATTTTTTCAAAAATGTTTCATACTGTCCTTCTAATTCATAATAGCAATACTGTACATCGGTAGCGAAGAGTCTCTCATAAATACGAAACTGCGATAAGCGGAAACCAGATGCAATATTGTTTCGCCTGCGGCATCTATTCTAGCACTGCATAAGACGCTCAATCATGTTCGGATAAAATTTCGATGCGAGGAAACGATGAATACACGTTTGCGCACTGCCAAAGCATAGCCATAAGATGCAAAAGTTTTGACTTTCTATTTACATCGTATTCAGGACCAACCAACCATTCCTACATCTAACAGAAGAGTGTAGTTTGAAAATTGAGTTTTTTCATGCGATAAGCAGCAAATACGTGAAAATGCTATCCAGGTTTTGATGACATGACAATATTATGAGGATGTACTAAATCGGGTAAAATTCTATGAATCTCAAACTTCGCTTGTATACGAGAGTACGATATACGGATTGAACTTTATTTGACCTTTAATGGATGCGACTCACATAGTAATGAACATTAGACACCCAGCCAGAGGTTGCGGATTTTGAAGAGAGTCGAAAAACCTATCCCTTGCTTCATAATCAAAATAACGGATAGGGGCCTACACCAAATTCAGTTTTGAAATATCAACCTAAAGTACTAATTCTGAACACTTGAGGACTATATTCTTAAATTTTTAACAGCGACAACATAGAAATTTATCCTATTATGATGGCCTAATTTATGCTCAAAACATAACGCGTGAAAGGATTTCTAAAAAAGCACTCAAACGCGTAAATAATTTGATGGTCGAACGTATCCACCAGAGTAAAACTACACTATAGGTTAAACTTAGCTTGCTCTGCGAAAATTTCGATATTCCTTCCTTCCACACATTGCATATTTAAAAATAATATTTCCCCTATTATGAATCAGTTCAAGTCAATATTGAACTATTCTAGCAAGAATTGTAATTTGAATACACATCGAGTAAGAAACATGGAAGGTCTTTACCAGGCTCGGCGGTGTGGCGCATCGTGTTAAGCGTTAGGAATAGACCCGCCACCGTATCTCTGATTACCTTTCGTGGGTTCGCATCCCATGCGGGGATGATTATGTGCGAGAGGATTGATTGCTGGACTCCTCACCGCCGTAGGGTGGTTCACGTAACCCAAGGGTGGGCAACTTCTCTAGTCGGCGGGCCAGATGTGGGAAAATGAAGTCCTCGGTGGGCCGGATTATTACATGCATAGTATTCAATATCTTAATCACATATTTATTCGCTAATGCAAGAAAGAAAATTATAAATCACGTTTAAAATAAAGTTTGAACTTCACAACAAATAGAGCCGGTCAAAATCTCGTGCAGGCCGCCCCTGACGTAACCGCTGGTCGGTTAAGGCTTCCTCCACCATCGAGTCTGTGCCTCCAAAAACAAATACTGTAACTGGCTAACTAATCCCATACCCTTCCTGGATTGGTAGCCGGATGAGAGGCCGTGGTTCGCCATATGATTAAATCGTCTCACCTCTCCCCCGGGATAAATATGTATATCCTATCCTACCATTTTCTATCATATCTTAAGCAAAGACTAGCTACTTTTTTTTTTTGAAGAATCTGAATCTTTCCCGTTCGGCATTGCCTACCAAATTTAATACACTCTGGGGTGTTTGTGGTAACCTACAGTTGGCTCTCAAGATTAAAAACAACAAAACGCGAATGCAAATATCTCCCTATTCAACCACAATATGTTGCTCCAGGCAAATGAATGATTTCTTTTACACCAATCTGACATCTTCGCATGTGTTATGTATTTAAACAAAATTTCACTATTTTATAGATTTCACCAATGTACTGGCAAGATTATCCATATCAAATTTTTCTTGAAGCATATCCTCATACATGAAAATTGGTTCACGAGCTCCGCCATGCGATAACATTTTTGATCTAGAAAAATTATATTTTTTGTATATCTAGAAATAGTTCATTTTCAATATATGATCGAACCCACTATATTTTATAATATGATCAAGCAATCTCAATAATAAAATATGATATATAAAAGATTCAAGAATCCGAATCACCTAAAATAATAATCTTAACTTTCTCTACAGCACCCTTACAGTAAATGCATACACTGGTATAAAAGCATAGAAAAAGGAAGTAGTTTGTCATGCAAAGAACCAATTACCAGCACAGGTTGAAATATAAAAATGTTATTTTCTGCTAGGTCACTAAAGTGGAATAATAATATTATAACTTAAATCAAAATATATTCAACTGTTTGAAAGTAATGAAAACTCAGAAATCACAAAACTGTTTCTTTCTTTCGCAAATCATTATACAAAAATTGCGAACTCACTTATATTAGGTAAATAAATATGTTAAAAAAAGAAATACTACTACTTTTCTACTCACTTATATCTTTCTCCCATTTCTCTGTTTAAAGGATCTTTTTGAAAGCATTTAGTCCATAACCTGGAAGCTACTGCTCTTGACATTAAATATGAATAATACTTTGCTCCGTAACTTGCAAGATGTGAGAAGCGTAGATACCAAGAAGTTTTTGCTACATGTGGAAGACTATAATGCTGTTTGTGGAGCTAGATATAGGAAAGTAAAATAAATAAAGTTGTTAGCAATAATCAAAATTGGAAATGCAAAATTCACATATTTAATATTGGGAGTCTTTTTACCACTCATACTCTGTAGTATGATTCAAGAGGATAATCGTTAGAACAAATTTGTTTTTATGATCAAACTAATAAAAAATTAGCTCATGCACTATCAATAATGCCCGTATGCCATTCTATATATTTTTTACTAGGAAGTTTACTCGAAGCAAGAAATAAAGGAGAATGATTTCTGAGCAAAGTTACGGACGACCGCTAACATGCCAAGATCTGCTGAAACTATAAATCATAGCGAAAATTGCTGAAATTAGTAAATAATGATCGACACAAGACTTAAAAAGCATGTCAATACAATCAAGAAACAGATATGAAATAGTTAATTTTACATAACTGAAGATCTTTGAACAAAAATTTCGGCATAAAAAGTTTTTGTCTTGTAGGTATGCTGACATTGAGTTCACAGCCAACAGAGTTGGACGACTAAAATATTTTTTTTGGAGGAACAAGTTGTGCAGAAGAACCCAGTCCATTTTAATAGATATAAAATGAGCACAACCAACACAGAACAAATTCGCTGTATATTTGAGTAGCTTGTTATCAAATATTTATCAGATAGGCAAAAGAGAATTGATATTGGAAATTAGCATGTTTGATGCAATAGAATTATGCTCAATACAACATCCAGCCTAAAATTGACATGGGATTCTTGTAATGTTAAAACGTTATAAATAAGTATACAGTATAGTTAGATATATTAAAATTGCAATACCTCAGCATATGTTACTCCAAGGCTACTAGGTAAAGGATGAACACCATGATAGACTTGATCAAGCATTGAATAAAACACCTGAAAAATATTTTTATGCAAATCAATGATGTCATAAAAAGGCCAAACTTAACTACTAGCAGAAAAACGAAATGTTTCTGAATTGTAATTCAAAAACGCTGTATGACAGATATAAAAATCTTCATCGTTCATACAAAATCATTCAAGTATGATAATACCTATTGTTTTAAGAAAGTGAAATTTTTTTCTAGGTCCATAAAGCAGCAGGTGAGGAAGGATACTTAGCACAGATAAAATTGAAAGTTATTGCTTCAAATGGACAATACTTACACATATATTAATCAGGGATTATAGGTCTCAAGTTACTGTGAATGTTAAGATGACCAACTTGAATTATGTAAGTTTTTTAATCTGTATAATGTGAAACATAACATTGTTAAGTACTAAGTAGAAGAATTATATTAATATTATTAGGATTTACAGGATAGGATAGGATTTACATATTTATCCCGGGGGAGAGGAAAGCTGATAAGACGACTTATCCATATGGCGAACCGCGGTCTCTCGTCCGGTTACCATTCCAAGTCGGGTATGGGATTAGATATATTGTTTGTTTTCGAAAGCATGGACTTGGTGGTGGAGGAAGCCGTAACCGACCAGCGGTTACGTGAACCACCCAACGACGGCGAGGAGTCCATCAATCCTCTCGCACATAACCATCCCTGCATGGGATTCGAACCTGCGAACCCACGTAGAGTAATTAGAGGTGCGGTGGCGAGCGTATTCCTAACGCTTAGCCCGTTGAGCCACACCGCCACACATTGAATTCAGATATTTTATTTAGATATGCACCTTACCTGTAATTGCATGTCGCTTGCAGCACACACATGATCTGCTTCACATAATTTTTTAATCATGTCAGGTGGTAACGCTTCCCTTGTTTTGTGATGTTTAGCAAATTTTGATAAAACCTTCTCATCATTAGCATAGTATTCCATTAGAATTGAGGGAACCTTACAAAGTGGAGAATATTTTACAAATAAATACACATTTTTACAAGTGCAGTATAAACAATAAATAAATTGTGGGGTCGACAAACCTCAAGTTGGAAATTCTAGATTCGTTGATTGGTGAAACAGGTCCAAATACTTAAACACAATTTTCTTGGATACCCACATGATATAGGCTTTTTACTATCATAAAATAGAAAGCCAAAAATCCACCTGTATTATATTGCAAACAACAGGTGTTAGTAACACACAATTTTATGATCTCATCGCAGTAGAAAGGAGCACATTTTCTGGCATCCAGACTATACCTACTTGTAAAAATCTAGACCAGAGGGATGCAACATTAGGCCTATGGACCTGGACTGTCTGGCCCGCTGGACCTATTTTTGTAAATCGCAAATGACCCGGTATCCCATTATTTTTGCATACTCATTTTATTTGTACCGGCACCAAGCACCATCACCGTTTTTGATCTCATTTTCAGCATTATGTGCTGCTGTGAGCAGAATATTCAACGCTGGAGTATAAAATTAGGTTTTTCAGCTTTAGGAAAAACCTACCTCCGCAAAATCTGTGGCACATCTCGTACCAGTTACATGTTGATATCTTGTTCTAGCAAGCATAGAATGCATAGCATGTCCAGCTTCGTGAAACAAGTTATTCACAGAACAAGGAGGAAGTAATGTAACATTGGTTGCTGTAGGTGATGGCAGGTGAAGCAGCAAAACAACAACCGGAACTTGGTAAGATCCATCAGGCATTCTTCGACCTCCCCTAAATGAGAGATTGTAACATAATAAAAATAATTGTATGAAAATAGCAGATTTTTCTTGTGGTAATATATACAACATGACACATAAAACACATCTTTTAAGAACTCTGTCTGGCTTTATTCTTGCAGTTCAGAAAGAGTATTTTATAATTTAAGCAGCAGGAAGAAGAATAAATATAAGTAGCAATTCTAACCTAACAAGATTCCTGCAATTGGAACCGTAGTCAGTAGGTTTAAATCAAAATTCACTATAAACACAATACCTTATCGTGAAATGACAATCTTGTTGAGGTTTCCCGGGTCTTTGAAAGAAATCACAATAAATATATCCTATAACTCCTTCTGTTTCGTGTTGTACTGCTAGTTTAATTACATCGGGTGACCAAATTTCTCCCTTTTTAGGTTCAACAGTTTGCAGAGAAACTCCATAAAGTGACTAAATATACACGAAAAAAGTTGTCATGTCCAACTTGTGTCAACTAAGTACCGGAAGTAGTATTTTATTGAACTCAAAAAACGGTCATGAAATCAAGCCCTGCAGCTTTACATTTAGCAAAATAACATTTTGATGTCAAGGTTTCCCAAGAGTTTCCCTTTGTTTATTCTGTTAGAAAATTGTCAACAAAATGGGAAAAGTCAACTAAAGCTTGTGGCTGAATATTATTGTGTTAATTTTACTAAAATTTATAGCTGAATGCATCAGTAACAAATATTTGAGCTTTCGGTTATTTAGTCTGATTAACAATAACTAAGAAACCTGATTTATTGGGAAAAATGTTATTATATTACAGTAATGAAACTACAGGGTGACCGAAAAACACGAACCCAGGTCATTTGGAACATATTCTAGATCCAGAGAGAACATAACTTTTGTGGAAAGCGTCCTAGATTACTTGAACATTTGGGTACAATCATACACAAACAGAATTTCAAGTGCAAATAAATTTTCATCATTTTCATAGAATTAAATAATTTAAATGTCACCTCATATATAGCAATAATAACAGTTTTCTTCAGTTTTGCTAATAACTAGGCATAAAATATAATTTATATAAAGCTTAACCAACCTGAAATATTGTATTTAATCCATCCATGCAATCACCAAGAGAAAAGAAGCTACTAAACATATCAGTGTTCACATTAGACCTAAATATATAGAGAAAAAAAAACATAATTTATACCAAGAATCCTTGTAACAAATATGTCTTGCTTGCGAAAATGTGAAAGCACCAACAAACCTTTGCTCTTTAAGCCGTGACGATAAGTAATGAACATCCCATGGCATCAACTCTCTTGTACTCCCTAACTCCCGCTTTAACGTTCTTAGTTCATCAAATTCCGCCTGAAGTGGAAACATTGTTAAGGTAAGTACAGAAAATTGTGGAAAAGAATATATTATAGCTGTATGATAATAAATTCTATGAAAAGGCTCCACACAAGCACACCAGTAACATTTGTGTTCCTGCCAGAAAAAAAATCTATGTCCAGGATTTTATTTCAAGAACCTCAGTCAGCTATGTCGGTCAGAAAAGTGAATTCCACTCACTACTTCATATTTTTCAATTCGAATTCACACAAACTGTCTTTTACTAACATGCAATCCACATTATACAGTAGTCGATCAAAAAATTTGAGTAAAAAAATGCTGCGGTGCTCGAACACCCAAGCCGAGTGAAATGTCCACACCTGAACCGTGCATCTCGGCTGTCTCTCGACCATTCAACAAGCATCAGTTCAAGTCCGACATTAGCGGGATAACATGTTTTGAGATTTAGTGTTTTTACCGTTTATCATGGCTCCCACGAAAAGTAGTGATAAAAGGAAGAAGGAGAAGTGAGAACAACCATAGAGTTGAAAAAAGAAATTATTGCGAAATACGAGTTTGAAGTATAAGGAAATGATAAGGAAACCTAATATTGCGCACGGAGTGACAACAATTAGTAAGCAAAGGCCTCAAATAATTGAGGAGATGGAAAAGTGACTGCGTATCTTTATTGTTGTTTAGACATATGTTATATTAATATTTTGGATATTTTGGAATGTGTAAAAATGTATAAAAATATTTACAATTTGCCATTGCAAAAAACTTTCGGTACTCCAACACCAACCCTGTATGAATTACGTCGATGACCAAGGAATCACTGTAATTCTTTATACAGTGAGGATCTCTTGGCATGTTAATAGTCAACTGTAGCTTTGCTCAGGGATCATTCTCTTTTAATTTCTGAGCGAGTTCTTGTGACTTTGCTTTGAGTGAATAGGCTTTCATTAAAAATGAAACAAAGTATGTTATAGTCGACTCACTTCAGCTGGTGACTTCAAACTGGCAGAAAGTGTGTTTAAAAATGTTGATACTTGTTCTGGATTCTGAGCAATTGTTGCTTTTAATGCTCTCTCAGCATAGCTCTCATATCCAACCAGGTGAGCAAGTTGATATCGTGATTTGAGAAGCCTGTTGAGAAAATTGTCAAAATTTAATACATAATATAGGTCAAATTATAGGAAACTTCAAATTAAATATATCATACTAATAAAAGCTTCTCTAAAGTTAACGAAAGCAAACAAAAATAATTGTCTTGCTTTCAATAATTATTTGCCATAATAGAAGTACTATTTCTGTAACGCTCAATGTGACATAGCTAAATTCGCAGGTGTAGCCTGTGAGGGATCATTACTAAGTTATTTATTAACTACTAAAATTCTTATGTAAAATTTAGACTTTTATTCATATGCAATTATTATCATTTTATTGGCTTCTTCGTTACTTTGCTCTGAGAAAACTCTTTTGAGAAAATAACTTGGAAGTTGCAGACTAATGGAAACTCATGCTAAAATCATTTATATGAATTATAAACATTGACCTCCTCAATGAAAACTTTTTTGATAGTTGAGATAATTAGTTAATGTGTGTTTTAATATTAATTAATTGTATTCAAATTAGACTGACATTGATTTCAATATTCAAAATCGAAGAAATTACTAACCTGGACAAAATTGCCTCCAGACCAGGGTTGGGGAACAAATACATTCGATATGCTGCTTCTCTTATTCTTTCATCAGTATGTTCTGCATGAAGTCCAGATAACTGTATTGTATCAGATTCACCGCTCATTCTTCCAAACAATTCTCTCAAATCAGTTGGTAAGAGATTTTTGGGCACAGCTACTGGTTGACCTGACCCCTGATTAACAAAGAGATAATTCTTGAAACATATTTAAAGGATAATCTGGGAAAAAATTCAGCCCTTCCTATTACTTTGTTAGTGAAGGTAACACTAACACATATACCAGAATACTTTTTTAAAAAGCAGATATTTTTTTTTGCTATATTTCTCACCATGACAATTCAGATACCAGATTAACTAGGCATAAGAATAGCGGACTTAAAAAGGGATTGAAGGAGTGTGCAACACAAGAAAATAAGTCGCATCATGCATGTAGAAAGATATTGTTTCATACTTTGAAACAAAATTTTTAAACCTGAATTTTCAGATGTTATGTGAGGCATCTCAGTCATCTTTGTTCATTTACTCACTCACAAATTTTAATTCATTAATTTACAGACATCTCTTCAAAACGATACGATAAAACAAATACCTGGAGCATTGCACTTGTTAAATTCAAAATTTCTTCATGGAGTTTGACTGCTTTTGACCGTTTATTTGAATCCAGATGAATTCCACTGATTTCAAAATCAAACATAAAAAGTTCTGCAACTCGTCTTGTTTCGTCATCAAAGCTTTGTAAAACAAATCAGCATAAGTACTTTATTTTATCAAGGATGAGGGGTGCACAGTACTGAATCAGGATTTATACAGACACAAACACTCTTTATCTGTTCAGAACAACCGAGCAACCAATTTAAAAAAAATATGAGTCAAGCTAAAACAACGGAATCCAGGTCATTCGCAACATATTCAAAAGAGAACATAACTTTTGTGCAAAGCAATATATATAAAAATTGGGTACTCCTCAAGTATGTATGTGTACCAGGTTAGGGTTAGGTCATAATTTTATCCGGATTTTCGTTATTTTAGTGCTATTACATGTCCGAAGGGGGGACTGTCTATGTTGGCCAAGTGAATATCCCCCTGCACATGGGCCCTTTACACAACTTGATGTAAAATAGGCAGACAAAATTGGTTTCCTCCATGTTAGTACACATACATCTGGATTCTGTAGCGCCAAAAATCGTACCTAGCCATTAACTCTTTGTCTTTGACAACATCATGCATTGCTTTATGTAATGATGAATGAGTATTTAATTCTTCAACCATTGTTCCTATGGCAACATGAGCTTCATTAGCTGCTTGTGCATAAGATTGGTTTGGATGCGCACATCGTACAAAATCAGCCAGATCCGCAACTCTGAAAATGAAATATCCAAATTAATTATTGCAAATTATATGGCAAAATAAGCACCAAAACATATTAAATTATAGCATGAATTAAAGGTAAGTTTGGTATCTAATATGAAACAACTAAATTTAGAATTGATACACATTGATACATTGTTTTGAAAGGTAATAAGCTTCTCGTATATTGCACTTATATTAGAAAACATTAAAATTTGTTATCAATCCATTTAGCTCATCTATTTTGAAAACATCAATTCGATCACAGTGTGATATAAAGAAACCAACAACAGAATTAATATGTATCGACAAAATGATGAATTGTCTAAAAGATTTGGTACAAAACTGCTGCAATATTTGACATGAAATAGTGGAATAATGTGCAACACCTTACCAGTTGATCACTGTCCTAATTTGGAGGGTTTATGGAGTAGTTGTAAGACTGCAGGACTGAGAGAGACCATGGGTAGTAGGCTAAGTATTTGTGGGCTATGGTGATAATGATAACAGTAACCAAATCTGTGTATGAAACTTATTCACATGATTTTGGTAAAATGTTCAATTATGTGAAGCAAATGATGTAGGCCTATATAATTGAGCATCTTATCATCTGTCCTATCCCACAAGAAAATCCTATCCTATCATTATTTATTTTATGAATTATCTGTAGAAATCATTCTGCACCTGCACAAAGTATCCGATAATTCATCAAATAGGATAATAGTTTCTTTTCCTGGTTTTGCAGCAATAGCTTGGTCCAGTAATCTCCAGCCCTTTTTAATACATTCATCCTAAAAATATAAGACAATGTTGTAACAATTATTCCTGACAGTAACTTTACAAAACCTAGTTTACATTGTCAGGTTGTAGAGTAAAGACATAGACTATATCCTAATACAGTAGTAATTGGTGATCAACTGATACTTGCTTCATCAAATACTCGACATGAAATGATAAAACTAAATAAAAATATTGAAACAATCGCCAAGAAAACTTTCGACCAGTTATTCTGAGCTGCATTAAGTTCAATTAAATTACCAATATCTATCTTGCTAATACGATAGTGAAAATAAAAATATACCATTATACCTTTGCTTTTATGAATCCTTCTGGAGAACTGAGTTCTGGAACTCCAAATAATCCAACATTTTTATTCCATAGATCAAATTTTTTCTCTGGAAGTGAGTTGAATGAAATCTCTAAAGGTGATCTCGTAGAAACAGATCGCTTCAACAAGCTTCTGTTATTAAAATTTTTGTGACATGAACATTGGCAGTTCTGTGGAGCAGTAAACCTCAGTTTACATAAGTGTCTGGCTGTAACACGTCTCATTTCTATTGTCAAGTTTTAGATTAAAGCTATGGCAATATTAGTTCATTATAGTCTAAATTTCAACATCAAAACATATGGGCTCTCGTGTATTTTCTGACTTAAATAACTTCTAGTGGACATGGTGTAACAATTTTCGCATATATAGACACACAAACAAATATTAAAAATAAAAGATAAAACACGAACTGTGTTGTTCGGGCGTGTAGCACACTGCAGACACGGTGGATTTTAATTAAAAACTGTTTATATAAAGCTTAATAATGCCTGCGTGTACCGTAATTTGGTACTGGAGAAAGTTAACAAATTCAATTACGCCAGATACCTCTCTCGTATCGGGATCGTTTCGCAGAGCTGCAATGAATACGTAACTCAAGCGAGACAGCAATTTCCACCAAGGAACGTTCACGATATCCTCATCTGAGCAATTTCGTGAGTGGACATAGGCCTACCGGTATTATTATATATTCACGCAAAGGCTGTTGTAGTTGTTGTAGTCCACCAACCGGGCACCAAGTCTTTATGTCCGTCTACAGGTCATGCATTGTGCCACACATTATTAATGAGGCTTAAATGGTTTCACTCCAAGCAAGGCTATAGATAAGCAGAAATGGACATATTATCTTATGCAACGCTATGCTTCTATGGGTGTAGTTTCGTACAACTTCTAGTAGGCGTATGGTAGCAATTTTTGCACATATCATTCCTGACCCGTGACCCCCACCTGACTTTGTCATCCAAAAATTATGTGAGTGTCTGAATGTGATCCCATCTCACAAAAATAAATAATTCTATGTAACTGAACGTTTCAGATTTTATGGATTTATTTTTGTAGAAATAGCATAGTTCGCCATTCTTATAAAACGTGAATTATGGCTTCTGACATATTGGAAGGCCTTGAACTTCGTTTTCGTCCTTCAAAAGGGAGACCATTAATGACTGAATTTTTGAAAGAACATATGTTCGATATTCCTCAGTCACCCTTAATTGATCCTGAGATGCTACGACTCAAAACTTCATCACCACAGAACCAAAAATCATATTTAGGAGAGAAAAGTTCCCCTCTGCATTTTGATAGATCTGAAGTTGTTGGTAAAAATGATGAAGCAATACTGCCTTCAGATGCTAAAAGCAATGATGCTGCTACTCAAGTGGAAAGTGAAAGTTTTTCTTCGTTGACCATAACCGGAAATCTTCCATCAGCTAAAAAGCGAATTCATCAAAATAGCTCTAAGATAATGGACACTGCTCAACGGAAATCAGATGGCAACTCAACTCCGAAGAGAGCAAAAATGAGACAAACATTATCTATATCAAATATTCCACCGGTATCCAGTAAAATAGGAGATACCCAGAGCTTCCGAGCTGTACCAGCCAGTTTAAATAAAAAATCCACTAAATATGATCAAAAGTCAGATAAGAATCATTTTGTGAATGCTGATATGGGAATCGTAGATGATAATCCTGAAATTTTCCTCTCTAAACCATCTGACGAAATAAACTCATCCGGATCGCCGAAGCATATAAGTGAAAAGAACTGTTCTCATTTTGCTGCCGATGACCATCAAAAAGGTGAAAGAATAATATTCAACGATGAATTGTTGAATACTGTTGAACTAATAAACAATGATTTTAGAACAAAAAGAGCCAGTTACATATGGAACAAATTTTTTCCTGAAAAAAGTCATGAACTTGTCGAAAGCAGCAATTCAAATGAGTTAGCATGTCTGTCACCAGAACTTTTGTATGAAGAACATAGGTATAGATATGGTGTTTCAAAAATATGTTCGATAGGTAAAAAGAGTGTTAAAACATTTAACGCTGTTTGTGAATATGTTGAAGAGTGGAACAATGCTGAAAAACTTAATCAAAACCATTATGGAAATTCATAGTAGAACCATGCAGCAATTACGGCAATTATGTGTACTTGATTGTTTATTTACTGGCGATTGACCTTCTCATGTTTTGTGTAAATTTTATTATCTGGTAATTTATTGATTCTCTAGACATTGTCTTGCCAAGCATGGACCATGTTTAGTTAACCGTACTTGCCTTTATTAAATTGTATACTTCTGTGTAGTTCTTATGTGTTTTTATGCTTTTAGTTATTGTTGGTTAACGTTGGTCAAATGTCACTAATAAGCATTATCATAATATTATGCGTTATCGTTTTTTTACTATTTTCTACTCTTTTCTATTTTGAGTCCTACACTATTACGCTATTTGTATTGAATCTTTATCAAGTTTACTGTTTTTTTTTTATATATTTTGGATTAGGGTTGTTATTGCTGAGATATTTGCAAATTTTTATACCGATGTTAGCTGATGTTAACTATCAGTAGTTCATTTTCTGCCATGAATTGCTTATATCATACTAAGATAAAAGTGGTTCAATTTGAAGAATTCGTGTTTTGTCCCATCTGTGTGAATGCTATTTTAATTTAGATAAAAATATCACTAAAGTTTGAATATTTTTTTATGCTGCATGATATTGCAGTGTACTGCATGTCCATTTGGCACAGGGCTTTGGTCTATAATATGATAGGCCTATTACATTTCAGCGGCCAAAAATTTGAAAGCTAAATTGCTTTATATTTTCCAACCTTGGTGACTAGTTATTGTTAACTACCATATTTTCAGTGTTTGATTAATTCAAATAACTGGACAAGTTTATTCATCATGATGAGAATTATGCATTTTGTGTCAAATTTGTTGAGATGTTAGGGTTAGGGTTAGGGTTAGGCTTTGTGCCTGAAAAACTATTCGGGTCATGACATAAAGTTTTCCGGAATTTATTAGCGAATGCAGGTTACCCTTAATAATTGATTTCACATTTTTAGCAGATCTGTACAGTCAAATATAAAAATTTCATCATAGATGTTGCTAAAATGCCAACTATTATTGCATTCGATTGTTCGCTTTCGATGAGCCGTGTTGTAACGACACAAGTAGGAGAAGAAGGTGGAATAAAAATATCCCAAAAACACCTTGCATATGATGCATGCAATGAACTTCTCAAATATTTATCAAAAAGAATAAAACTGGAATACACTGCATTGTTATCTTTTTCTTCGACTTGCCAAGTACTCTGTGAGTTCACAAGAGATCATGAAGCTTTGAAAGCAGCTTTAAACAAGGTTAGATTCTTATATTTACTGTAACCATCAATTTTTGAAGATCAATAAATGTAGCTATGATAGAATTAAACACAAAAGCTAAATTGCAGTTTGTTTGATGTGGTTATAAATAGCTATAATTCAATTGAAAATAGTGTCATAGACATGGATACCCATGTTTTATAACCATTTCACCATATTCCATATATGAGATAAAACCAATCCTTTATCATTTTTTTTTTCAATTTCTTTATCTGTGAAAGTTTATTCTGGGTATATCAACGATCAAATCTAACCGGGGTAACTGTTAAAACAGCCATCCCCGCTGATCTTTGCCTTAAATTTGTATGGTCTGTGATCCAAAATCTCTGCTCACATTTGATCTAGCCTTGATACTCAAACTCTCAGTATATTTTTTCTTTTCAGGCGAAGCTTCGAGATAAAGCTTGTCTTGAACCATTATGTCATGAAATAAATAACTTGGTATCAAAAGAATTCGGATATATGGTTCCATGTAACATCATTATTGTAACCAATAGTAGAGTTAACTGGACATCAGATGTCAGAAGTGTAAGTTGTGTATAGTAATATTTAATATGTATAATTGAAATAGGAATTTTTTTTTTCTATAAACAGCAACTAACTTTGGTTTGGATATCATAACAATTGTTTTTTGTTATGGAATTCAAGTATGTTGGATTGAATTTAGGTGATGTCCACCCACTCACCCTGGGATGGTGAGCCTTTTATAATGAATGAGTCAAAAATTATATTTTTTCATCTCGAATATTTGATCAAGGAAACGTATAATCCTTAGTTGGTATTGTGTCGTTTTGAGCTTTTCACATAGCCTACACCACTTATATCATGACAGAGGTCATTTCTGGTTCTTATTGAGAACACTGATTTGCATACATATGAATACTGGAAAACAATTACAATGCTGTCATTGCTGTGTTTCTGTGTAAAGTCTTTTCATAGTTTCAAAGGAATATGGAAGGGAACTCAACTATGAGGGAATGATATTTTTTGGTTGGCTACCAGCCACACTAAATTAACTACCATACATCATTGTTATATCAAATTTTTGTTGTCATCAATTCAAGTCTGTTAAATTTTGTTTTCCAAACCACATTTCATGTGGGAAAAAAATGAACTGCAGAGTAGCATCTAGTTGAAATTATCATATTTACTAAATATTAAAATTACTAAATATTAAACTTTTTTAGGTTAATCCAGAAGAATCTCTTCAAAGCATTGAATTTCCAATCAAATTTCAAAGTGCAATTCATTTCATCTGTGTCACAGAAGATCTAGCTAAATCCGGAAGAGAAAAATTTATACAAGCAGTGATTCAGACAAATAACGGTGAGAATTTCACTTAATATGCTTTAGTAATGATAAATAGGTGATGAAGTAAGGAATACACTTGCCTGCACCAGTTTGTAACCTGTGCGAGGATAATTATGTGTATTAGAATTGCTGGACAACTTGCAGTCTGGTTACTCACAACTTCTCCACCATCAAGTTCATGCATCTGAAACAAATAAATAGCTTACTATTTTCATATCCGACATGGACTGGAAACCGAACGATAGGCTGAGGTTCATTATATAATTAAGCTGTCCTATTTCCCAGAATAATATGCAAATTCTTTTCCAACTCTGACCCTAAACAGGAGTTGTTAGGATTTTCAGTAATTACGACAAAACTTTTATATATTTATCTCCACAATTTAATTTTCCTGCAAAATTTATCCAGGTAAAGGTACAATCAACAATTTACAGAGTCCAGTGATTGATCACCAACTATCGGTTCGGAAAATGGTGAACGATTTTACTTCGAAGCACATGAGTGTGTTCACTGGAAGACTACAATGTGGAAATCTTAAAAATGATGTAAGCTGTAAAATAGATCTTGTCTGAGAACTTTTAAATCATTCGATCTTGTTGATTTCTACTATGTAATGTGTATATGGTATGTATGCACTATATAGTATGAAATAGTTAATTTTGTTTCCGCCTCTCGAAACTCGAAGAATGGTTCACCAACTGAAAAGAAGGAAGATTGCAGGCAAAAAGGTATAAATAAATAATATAAGTATAAAAACGAATTGTAACGTCCCAGTTCCTACACTCGTGTACCTTTATTAGGGAATATTCCAGTTAGGTATTATTAATTCCATTTAGGCTTGTGGTTTTTGTCTTGAATTTCTGTAAATGTAAACACGATTTTTTTATCTGAATTAAATTTTTAATGGACCCTAATCTAAAATACAGAGCAGGCTTACTGTTAAGTGTAGTTTTCTGTTGTTAGTACTGTTGAGTAGTGGTTGACTCGTTATTTAATGGAAAAACGACTTTGACATGAATTCATG